TGTAGATTATCTCTGTCTATATATATATATATGTATATATGTATATATATATATATATACTCCTTCATGAAGGGGTAGCGGGACCTCTGGAAGGTTAAGTTTGGGGTCTAGTGGTCTAGGGGTCTGGGATTAGGGTTTGGAGTTCATGGTTTGGGGTTTAAGGGAGTTCTAGGGCTCTGAAGCTGAAGTTCAGGGTATCGGAGAAAGGCTCGCGTCGGGGTCTGAACTGGTTAGCAACACCCTTAAACCCTAAACCCTAAACCCTGAGACCCTAAACCCCTACACCCCTACACCCCTAAACACCTAAACCCTTAAACCCTAAACCCCTAACCCTAAAACCCAAAACCCCTAAGCCCAAAGCCCCTGAAACCCTTAAACCTTAACCCTTCCTTCGGCTTTTGTGCTGTAGACTTGGGTTGAAGCGCCCCCCTGAACCCTCAGTCGATTTCTTGAGGCCAGTGCGTTCGGATTTAGGGCTCCAGGGTTTAGGTTGTCGTTCAGGTTTGGGGCTCAGGGTTTCGGGCTTAAGGTTTTTGTTGCGGTTTTTGGTGGTTCAGGGTTTAGGGGCTTAGTCTCGAAACCCTAAACCCTAAACCCTAAACCCTAAACCCTAAACCTGATTAAGGAACCCTTGCCCGATAAGCCCTCAAAAACGTAGAGCTCATACGAAAAACTCGTGGTAAGGACCCCGGGTTGCTTCATCAGGTTCTCAGAGTATACGATTAAGGGTACTAGGGCTCGAAAACAGGGTTCCCTTTAAAAGGCCTCCTATTTCGGGCTCGGCAGGCTAGAATGGTGCACGGACTATAAGGGCCGGTTCGTCCTTGTTCACATGAAAGGCTTCCATTTCCTGCATCGGCACATGCAGACAATGGTGCACGAAATATACCTATAGTCTCCATTGTAGTTCCACCAATTATATATTGAGGAATTTGTAAGGTATCCCCAAACAAGAACTACAATGGAGACTATAGGTAAGGGCCCTTATTGCCCACATGATCGGCTTGCATTCGAACTCGCGGCACGAACGACGTGGCGTCCTCGGAGTGCAGGTTCTTATGACCCAGCCGTTTGCCCGAGCTTTGACTTTATACTCCCTAAACCCTAAACCCTAAACCCTAAACCCTAAACCCTAAACCCTAAACCCTAAACCCTAAACCCTAGCACAGAAAATGGTGGAAGCTGCTCCACAGCTTCCGGCCTTGTGACCTCCGGATCCAGCGGCATGTTAGAGTCTGTTGCAGCCTAAACCCTAAACCCTGAAACCCAGGGTTTAAGGTTTAGGGTTTAGGGTTTAGGGTTTAGGGGGTTTAGGGTTTAGGGTTTAGGGTTTAGGGTTAAATGCTGAAACCCAAAGCCCTAAACCCTAAACCCTGAAACCCTAAACCCTAAACCCTGAACCCTAAACCCTGATACCGTAAACCCCAAAGGCTGGGCAGGACGAAGGTTCCTCCTTGCAGAGCGTAGTTGCGGTTGATGGAGACGAAGAAACCATGTCAAGAGGGCCGGCAAGAGGGCCGGTTGTCGGTGTCCCAGCAACAGCAGCTGTCAGGGGTTTAGGGTTTGAGAGTGATGGCAGTGCAATGTCTTGAACCTCCTGGAGAAACCCTAAACCCTGAACCCAAATCGCCTAAGCCGTAAGCCCTTAGACCCTAAACCGTACAAAGTCGTGAATCTCCGAGCCGAAACCGACAATGTAGGGGCTCTGTGGCTTCAAGTTGAGGGTTTGGGCTTTGGGGATTTAGGGTTTAGGGTTTAGGGTTTAGGGTTTAGGGTTGAGGGTTGAGGGTTTAGGGTTTAGGGATTTAGGGTTGTAGGGACTTAAGGGCTAGGTTTAGGGTTCAGCGGCTTAGGATTCAGGTTTTTTATGGTAAGAAAAAAGTGCAGTAGCCTCTGTACTCCATCCAGCCAAGCGAGACCTGCCCCCAAAGACATACACTGGGTCTGGACAGAAAATCTGCTCATAACCCACATCCCGAAAAGCTCAGCTCACTCAGGCCCTTCACTCAGTTTAGAGCTTGGGGACTTAAGGGTTGGGTTCGGGGTTTAGGTTCCTTTCTTAGTGTGATGGGTACATCCTGGGGCCCGGGACCCGAGAGCATATAATATAGGGGCCTTAAGAGTTAGAATAGGGTTTGGGGGCCCACTATACTATAACTATAACAAGGACCCACCATAGTAGTTGTAAGTATGTAGGCCCCTATGTTAACCATAAAACCCGCAACTTGAGCCCAGGTGCGCTTTTGCTGCGTCGATGCCTCAGATGAAAGAGCCTACATGGAGCTCTTATAGGGTTTAGGGTTTAGGGTTTAGGGTTTTTTTTTTTAAGTGCACTAGCCCCTTTGACTCCATCGCGAGACTGGCCAATTCAGGCCTGCACTCCAAAACAAGGCACATCTTGCGAAATGCCCACATGATACTAGGTTCTCTCAGACAGCTCACAACAATCTTCACAGCAAGCTCCCTGCCCAAAGAACCGAGGACTGCTCCAAAGCACAGAAAGCACTCGGGTTTCCCAGAGGCAAAAGCACATTCACACTTCTTGTCACTCACAAGTCCGGAGGAGCAGGGCGGGCAATGCTCAGAGGGGATCCTTCACCGACTTCACCGAGAGCAGCAGACAGGCTCAGTGACGGAGTGCCTGACGACGCTGACCCTCTAGACACCAAAGACGTGGATGAACTCGTAGACAAAGACGTGGACGAACTCGTAGTCAAAGGCCCCGTGGCGGTGGAGTCAAGGGTAGCCACAGTAGCACCTGCCCATTCCACAACCGACCCCACGTTTGGAGAGCTCAGCAAAGAAGGCGTCCGGCTCGACGAAGAGGGACAGCTGGAGGCACTCGACGAGGAGGAGGGAGACCAGCTCGTGGAACAGGTAGTCCATGACGGCGAGGAGGTCCAACACGAGGTCGTAGTCGAACTAGTAGTGGACTCAGCACGTTCTTCATCCGCCACAGGTCCAGCGCCACCGGAGCCAACGAGTGCGGTCTGCTGGGGCCACTGAACCATTTCGGCTTCTTGACCTCTCACGTGTCTCTGTTGCCACCGGACTCATCATTGCAAGTAGATCACCCTCCGGTACAAATCGCGGGCGAGGACGAGGTCGCTCACCGCGGCGACGTCCAAACGTACGATCTCGTGCGTTGCCATGATGCACCAGCGCTGGCAAAGAGGAGCTCGTTGACTGGCCCGTGACAACCTCGTCCTCATCGGCCTGAATGAGAAACAAACTGCGGTCATTTTCCGCATCCCATCGGCCCACAGGAAGATCTCGGTCGAGGCGATGGTAGAGCTGTTCGAGATGTCTTTGCCATACCCTCCTCCTGTAGCCGACAATTGTGTGGGGTTCCTGGCCAGGAAGAGCACGGTCCACTGCGGGAAGAGAAGGTGGCAGGGAAGGCTGCAGGAGAACCATTGGACTATTCACCCAGTGGTGGGGCACAGTTTCCGTCGCGCCAGATCCATGAACTGCCTCCTGTGCAATAACTTCCATGACCTCCGCAGCCATCATCCTGCCATTGAAGGGGACCGCACTGATGGGCACACGAAGCCACTGTAGCGCCTCATCAATCGCCACACCAAGAAGCCTGTCAGAGTGCTGAAGTTGCCTGCGACGGTCATTCAGCCTCCGGATCAAGTCCACTATGTCGACCTGGTTGCTCTGTACCCCCATCCTGTTGATCACATCCCTCACCAGGTCGCACGGCCACGTTGTAGCAGAAGAACTCGACGTGGAGGTGGTAGTAGAGGAGGGTCCATCAAACCAATTCACCCCCATCCCGAACAAGGGAAGGAAGGGGTACTGCACTAACATCAGCTCATCAGTCATGTCTCCCCCTGTATCAGAGCCATCACGTAACACAGGAGTGGTACTGGTGGTGCTGGTGGTGCTTGAAGAGGTCGCAGACGGCTCGCCCCATATACCCATGAGCTCTCCTTGAAGTGCACGTTGTTGTTCTTCTCCGGGCTGGTACGTGCTCGCGGCGGAGGGCAAAGGGCTTGCCACCTCAGACGGGGTAGAGTTGGAGAACGGCTTCTGACACGTACACTTGGCGAGGAGCTGGACGAGGAGGAGGCCTCGTCTTCCTGGTGGCATTCTTCAGCAGGCTCAGGGTGGTTACGAGTAGCGCCATCACCTGACGAGGATGGCTGCTCAGGGAGAGGTGGGGGAGCCGTTCCCAACGTGCGATCCGAAAGGGGGAGGGGCGAGTCAAGGCACTCACTGGGCTGCAAGTGCACCCCGAAGTGTCTCTCCATCGTGGTGACAAACAGGCTTGCATATTGACGAACCCAGGAAAAATACCTCATTCTGTCTTCCTCACGTTGTGGTACTCGTAGAATGGGAAGATATCCTCGCGGACGAAGACGGCGATGTAGGATGCGGAGGATCGCGTCCATGCTTTGCATGCCATCTTCAACACGTTGTACAAGACAGCACAGTGCCCATCTTGCCTCGGGTCCCGATTCGAAGGCATTATGGTCATCGAGGCGGTCCAGCAGCTCCTCGACTCTGGTAAGCGCGTCGTGCGGGACGCCATTCTCCTGGAGGGTGGCGCGCTCAGCACCCGTGAGCTGCATAAATAGCGCCTCCTCGACGTCACCTGGAACTGGAGTAACCACAGGGAAGAGACCGAAGTTGGGCGGGAAATCCAGCACTTCACCCCCTGCCACAGAAGTGGATGTAGAGGTAGAGGAGGAAGACGTCCACGACCATCCGTCATTGCCATCGACCTCGTCCCATGAGTACCAGCCCCACCAGGAGTGCGACTGCCAATTGTTCCATTGACCTGACCACGGGTCCACATCCGTTGCTTCTGTTGGGGCGGGTGGCTCCTGACCGGCATCAACAGGCTGCGCAGGGCCCTCCTGCTGCGACTCATTTCTCTCCCTGGAGCGCTTTTCTTTGTCGCGGATGTAGTTGACAAGCCACGCCGGTTTCCATTTGCCAGCGTAGTAGGCCTCCACGCGCTCCTGCTTACGAAGAAGTCGCTGAGGGCCCATGCCACCCCTGTGCGAGCGTTGTTCCGACGGGGTGCGTTCACGCGCTTGCCATTCACCCCTTGCCCAAAAGCCGACTGTTGGACCTGACGAGGAGTTCGAAGAGGAATGGGCGGGTGCTTCACGGGCAGTGTCATCGCCAGTATTCGTAGAGCTGCCTGCCGTTGTGGAGTCACCAGTGACCACATCCGAGGAACTGCAACGGACAGAGAAGGCCTCTCCGTAGAAGGTGGTTGCCTCGATAACAGCATCGCCATTATGGGAGGACAAGCCCGTCACCACGAAGGGATCATTCTCAGACTCAGTGCCAGTGTCCGCGTTCGTGCTCTCAGCCTCCAGGCGTTCTTGTCGGCGATTCCTGATCGAACCATCGGGATGATGCCATCTGTCAACCCCTGGCCTGGTTTTGTGTCCCCTCCGAGTGATGCCTTCTTCTCCAGCTGCCGGTGTGGTGGAGGAAGAGCTCGGAGTCAAAGTGCAGGATGACGAGGGCTGTCGCATGGAACACAACGGCGATGTGAACGACGAGGGATCGCGGCCGGCTGGACGACTAGCTCCTTGAGAACGATGTCCATATAGATCACGGTCATCGAGGAGTCCAGGTAGCCAGTCATTTCCTACCTCTGTCGTCGCTGTCTCCTCTTGCTGTCTTCCATTGAAGGGCAGGGGAAGGTCCTCTGGGATAGGGGCGAGGCCTTGGAGTACAGTGTCTTCAGGCAGTTCTGAGTGAGCGTGCCACCTTTGTAGTTCTTGTTCTTGAAGGGCAAGACTAACTTCCTCGTCCCAGTCGATCCCGTTGCTACCTGAATTCACCCCTGTGCAAGGCAGAGATGAAGAGTTAGGACTCAAAGAAGACACCCCAGTGGAACTGCAAGGGGCCCAGGGAGGCTGCCAGTTCACCCCCGAAGTAGAGGAAGAGGAAGGTTGTGTCCCCGCTGCCTGCAAACACGAAGATGAAGAGGAGGGCTGTGTCCACGGTGCCGGTAAGGACGAAGAGGAGGAGGAGGTAGGGCCACCTGTCTGACTTGTCGTCCAGGATGACCAGGTGTGCCAAGCATCGGAGTTGGCTGGCATGGCGGGTGTGGACCATTCATTGTCCTCCCAAGAAAGTGCCATCTGCTCCGCAATCTCGCTGTCACTCCAACGTCGCCAATAGTGTGAGGGTGTACTCGGCGAGGCGCCACAAGCTTGTCGATCGTCTCCATCAGGGGCATTGCTTCCATCATGTGCAGGGCCGGCCTTCACGAGGATGAGCACGAGGAGGAGGAGCATCACATTCACCCACACATGAAGAAATCGGCAGGTAGAAGCCATTGCGGAGGACGAGGAAGGGCGCCAGAGGGGAAACGGAAGCACCTCGAACCGGGATAGCGGTGTGCAAGTGCTGCAAGATCAGGGCAACAAGTCTGGTTGGGCACGAAGCTTGCGCATTGCTGTAAAGAAAACTGCCATGGTGTGAACTGTCAACGACCTTTCCGACATGTAAGAACTTCAAATCATCATCATGCAGAGACTGTCACATTGAAAGAGAGAAGCGGCCAGGGACCAGCAAGGGAAAGTGGAGGGGCTACTCGACGAAAGGCCCTTCCATGCTGCAAAACTCAGCCAGTCAAAGATGAGGAGCTTCACAAACAGCAAAGAAAGGGACAATGCCTAGTACCTCAAGGAAAGCTGTCGTCCGCTGGTCCAGCGAATGTCCCACTGCTTGATGTATTCTTTTCTTTCCTGGGCCCATCGATGACGGTCTTGGGCACAGACATGCCACAAGGTGCCATGGGTCTCAGCTAGCTGCCTCTCGGTGCAACTTGCATAAAATCTCCCAGGATGACGCTTGCCAACTCCGCGGCTGAGGGCTTGTTCATTTCTCCACCAATGTGTGTTTCGCCAAAGGAGTGCACGCAGGGGCGGGCTCATTCTGGGGGAATCACTGACAATCTCAACTCTTCTGGCCCAGTGTCCGTGCAACGTGTGCTGAAGCGTCAAAATGCGCTCTGACCATCTTGCTACATGATTGGTATGGAGCCATGCACGTAGAAATCGCATGGTACGAATATTCCAACTCGTCCAACTCTCATCCCCTGCACGTCTCAGGCCAAAGGCACGTCTGCAGGCATGCAGCTGGAGAACGTTGAGACTGTGAAGGTCTGCTGAACTCCAATGCAAAGCACCCCCTATCCAATTAAATTGCGATTCGACGAGGGTGCGCATGATGGCCGTCTTCTGTGTCCACGCACCTGCAGCGCAAAGGATGTCATTGT